CATATGCTGATAGTCACATAACAAGCGGTACTGCAACTCAGCTGGTGGTAAGTAAGTGAGTATGCGATACTCAAATTTTGGTACCTTACGCTGTTTTCCGACAGTTGGATTTCTGTTGCTTTAACAACTTAGTACTTTTGCAATTATGTCAAACCGCTTTTGTGCAGTGTGGCTTACACACATGTGATACTGATATCTCATTTTCAAACCGTGCGTTTTTGATTACCATGTTTAATTTAGCTTATTTTTTTGTGTATTTTATCTTGCGTTTTGATTCATAGATACCCCTAAGAGTCGCAGAAAGGACATTATCCCCCCCCATTCGAATTTAACTTGATGCGACATATGTCCTTTGAATATTGTAAATTACATTTTCCAAACACTCCTTTAGACACTTTGACATGAACATTTTATTAGTATTATTTTAAATGTAATTATTAGGTATTAGATACGTTTAAATAATATTTAAATACTTCATTTTTATGTGTTTGAAACGGAGGATTCATATAATTGCAGTAGTAACTATAAAAATTCTGAAACAACTATTAAACAAAATTTCCCTCATTCCCTAACAAGTTTTTTATTTTCTCAATATCCGTTCAGATGATTGGCATTGCTATTATGGGTGTTCTCTGGTTGTTCGAGAAGTTTTAGAAGATGAAATTACAAATACGTTAGTATAGGAAACTTATCGTTACATTGAATAATCATATCAGTTAATCTATTTACACGAAGAAAATACTTGAAGCTCAAGAAATCAAACAAAATTCGTGTGTTTTTGACATTGGTCTGTTACCAGACAATTCGAAAAAACCCAGCAAGTAACCTTGCTTTAAAATATATATCAAACTGAGTTGAAATATTAACTAGAGTCTATAAATTTCAAGATGCGTAGTATATATGAAATTTCAATCTATGTAAAATCAGTTTATAACTTATTCTAGCAACTTTCTGAGCATACGTATAAACTCTTAATAGCGTTTGAGAAAAAAATCCGTCTTTAAAGTGATAGTAGTAATTTTTATATTTTTCTTCATCTGCTTTATTTTGCGCCAAAAAGTGATTTTTTGCACATATTTTTTCTGAAATTTCAATTTACTTCTGATTTCTAAAATAAAAAATCTGATGTGTACACAACATGACTTCCTTGCACGGAATATTAACTTATACGCATTTTTCTTGCATTTCATTTAAGCTTATTGGATTGAATTAAATCTACTTCGTAGACAGTGCATAAACCACAAAAGTATAAATGCACTCTTTAAAATTCACTATATTTGTTTACCATAGCGACACTCTGGGCTAGGTTCATTTAACAGAGTTACATTTCATTCATCTTAGAACTTAGATACTTTAATATACCGACTAATTGCAGAATGCAACTTTGCCGGTTCTTGAATTAACCCTTCAATGCATGGTGATGCATATATGAATCATACCAATTTTTACTGAATTTAGCATTAAAAAATATAGAGAGCAGACAGTTTACTGGGTTAATTTTTATCTTAATAAACCCATATCAATGTTTCGGTCTTCTTTTCCTTAGTAGATGGCAGTATAAAAGTGCACTCTTTATTTCATTAGTGCCAAGAACACAGAATTCGTTTCTGGTTTTTCTGTGGTCAAGCTAGCTTTCTATTTATAAATTTGATATTAGAGGCTTAAATATTTTACTGTATATAGCTGAAGGTATGTACTTTTCATTTTTGTGCTACGATTCAACCACAGAATTGTTCTAAAATAAAATATTTCGATTTTTCTGTTTGATTCATATATGCATCACTATGCATTTTTGATTAGGCTTTACTCTAGAGTGCAGTTTGATGCATATACGAATCAGGTTAAAATTTAGAGTGGAATTTTAATTATAAGACATCAATATACATTTTATTTCAAGCTTTTTTTATATAAGTAATACCTACTTGATATGTTCATGAATTGTTGTTATTTAGAGTTATAAAATATTAATTTTATGTCTCTAATTATGTAGCATGTATATTTTTTGTTTATATTGAAATTTCCTTTGATTTTGCTCATTTAGTGGGTAATTATTTTCAAATCATTTTTTATGTGGACTCGATGAACTTGCTAAGTTTGAGGTATACCTCAAACTTATGAAACTCAGCCCTAAACTCAGCCCAAAAAAACTACCTCACAATCGCTTAGCAAATGAGGCGGAATTGAGCGCCAGTGGAAATGTTGTGATTAGACTTTGTAGAGAGATTCCTCGAGATCAAAATTTTAAATTGTATTTCAACAACTTTTATACTTCAATTGACATAATGAAGAGTTTAGCTAATGAGGGCATTTTTTGTTTGGGAACTTTGCGAAGAAACAGAATTCCTGGTTGCAAGCTCTGTGCAAATGAGCGACTGAAGAAAGAGTCAAGGGGAACAAGCTTTGAATACGTTGCAGACTGTGGTGGAACTGAAATATGTAATTTAGTGAAGAAAGGCAATACGGATGTGCTCCTGTTGTCTATATTTGCTGGGAAACACCCCATTGAGCATATATCTAGATTCGATAGGAAGAAAAAAGAAACAGTTTCTGTGGACTGCCCAAATGTTGTGAAACGATAGAACAAACATATGGGGCGACGTAGATTTGCTGAATAGCCATATAGGAAGAAAGAAAATAACTCTGAGTTCAAGAAAGTAATCCGTGAGACATTTTTATCACTTCTTAAATCCTGTGGTCATAAATGCGTGGCTGCTGTACAAATGTATGTCTCTACAGAATGGAGATAATCCCAAGGATTTTCTAAACCTGGCCGCCTTTCGGGTTGAGGTATCCGTTGAACTGTGCAAAATCGGTGTAAGTTCAGTTCCTAAGCATGGAAGACCTGAAGTTCTTTTACAAAATGATTACAACGTGAAAAGATAGAGGGGCCCTGCATCAAACATTTCCCCAACATGCGTCAAACAGGATAAAGTTCAACATGTTCTCAAATGAAACGAAAATCGCACTCGTTGTAAAGTGCCAAATTGCAAATTTCAAACATTTGTTGGATATGAATTTTATTTAGTCTAAATATGAATAGAAATTGTTTCAAAATTTTCCATACAACATAAATTTCACAATAAGTGTAAATGTATGAAGTATTTGATATGTCATTTTTAATTAAATTTTCATCACAATATTAATTTTTATAAAGTCTGAACATGCTTATAAAAATGCATGGAATTAAGTTCCAATAAAATTTTAATTAAAGTCATTATCTTCTAAAAACAATAAATAATTAAGTATTTTATGCCAATATTTATTAATTATATTACTGTATATGATTTTTTCATGTGGTTTACATTTTAGTGCTAAGTGCATAACGATGCATGTATGCATCAAACCTAAAAATTCAAAAAATAACCAATAAATGTATTAAATATTTTTTAAATATTTCCCATATTTATTTAAGCCATGATCATGAAGAAAAAATATATTTGGTAAAAATATAAAAAATCATGCATTGAAGGGTTAAAGACCGAAGGCACATAACGTATAAAATTCCGGACGTAGAAAAATATCTGAAGAGAAATCGGAGGAATCTGGAGAAGGAGAGGCCACAAACCAAACAGGGCGGAGCAAAGCAAGACATCCTGAAAAGTCACTGTAATGTGATGCCATTTGTCTCGAGTCTAAATTTAACTGTTCAGTCATCTTACATAAGGAGATGGAAAATTAAACATCCATGCCGTCTAATATGCATCTGATAACTCAGAATGCACAAAATTTATATCATCTGAAGAATTATCTAATCGTTCCCACATGTCCAATTAAAATACTACAATAAATCTAAAACGATGTATAAAAGAAGTTAAGCAAACAAAAGAAAAGAAACGGTTTTTCACAGACGATTCAGTATTTCTCATTCAATTAATTCAGTTCTCACTTCGCGACAAGTCAAAAATACATTAAAACTCAAAATATCTATATTAAAAACTACGAAGTAAATCTTAAACACTTATTTTCTCGAAAAAATTCCAGAAAGGATTAAGCATGATTTAATTCGGAATAATAAAAGAAGGCGTTATTGGGAAGCTTACTTTCTCTAGATTGGCAACAAAACTACTATTCTGCTGTTTTAAATGTAAACAAATATGTCTGCCATGTTATTTAAAACTTAAGGCTTAGCTGCACTTAAATAGCTTTTAAATTGTTGTTAATTGTACAAATATTGCTTCCAGATTTATGAAAGGCATAAAAACCTTAACCGGAAGATACGAAAAACATAATTCAATCATTTTTAAAGCAAAAAATGCACAATTTACAAACATAAAAGAGTAAAGAAACTGAGATCACTGTACCGAGTAACAGAGTGGATGTATATATATAAATATATTTATATACGTTTGGTGCGGCCGATTGCAACCAAAATACGAGGTGCACATCTCATGTTATAGCAGTCCTATATACAAAATTTCAATGTTCTGAGGCTACTCGTTTTTGAGTTATGCGAGATACGTACGTACAGATGCCGCGAAAAATTCTCTTCAGAATTCATTTTAAATCAGTTTTATAATTTTTTGGGGGAAAGAATCCTTTATTCTGTCCTTACGTACAGACTTCACGCAGAAACATCATTAAATTGTGTTCGATAGCGGTCAAATTGGATACTTTCGTTTAAATATGATACCTGAAATTTTTCGCGATTACAATAATTCCTTTTTACTTCGTGCAAGGAAGTAAAAATCGAGTAATTGTTGGTGCAGTTTTTTTTTTTTTTTTTTTTTTTTTGATGGAGTTTATTAAGCTGAGAAGTGGTTAACAGATTTAGAAATTTCTTTAGCGCCTCGAAATTTGGCGGTACATTTTGTACCATATGTGCAAATATTACAATTGAATTTCAAACACTAAATATGATATCGTACTTCTTGCTCTGTTAGCCGCTGTAAACTTAATTCAAGGATACCACAATCCATACCTTATCCCATGTCAGATTTATTATTTACTCGTACACAGTTAATTTCAACTACGGTTAAATCGAAAATACTGATTGTACTTACCACCAACTTCCAAATACCTTAGATTATCCCAGATTGGTGAAAATGTTTTCTCGTCTAAAGTCAAAATATGATTCTCACCTATGAGAAGAGTAGTAAGTTTGGGCATGTTCTCAAATATGTCACGTGGTAGAGTTTGAATTTGATTTTTCCTGCAATAAAATAGTAAATTTATATACAAATAAATATAAAACAAAATTTTGAATTTGAAATATCATATAAACAATAACATATTATTCTGACATCATAAAGAAGTTCACTGTTCTAAGCGTTCCTACTCTCTTAAAATCAAAATCAAATCCTGTCTATCTTTTCTTCATTTTAGCATATTTGGTGGATTTTTATCATGAATTTCACATACGAGGGCTATCCAGAAAGTAGATTACGTTTTGGAATAAAAAAATAAACAAAGTATAGGAAACAAATTTTATTATATACAGATGAAAGCCACACTCAAATACTACTTTTCTACATAGTCACCATACAAATTAAGGCATTTATCGTAGCGATGTACGAGCTTGGAAATTCCTTCGTCGAAAAATTCGGCCGCCTGCGCCTTCAACCACTTCGTTACCTCTTCTTGCAGCTGTGCGTCGTCATCAAAACGCTGCATAGCCAGCCACTTCTTCATTGCTGGGAATAGGTGGAAGTCGCTCGGTGCCAGGTCGGGACTGTACGGCGGATGAGGAAACAACTCCCACTTAAAAGATTCAAGAACTTTACGAGTGACATTTGCCGTGTGGGGGCCGGGCGTTGTCGTGAATCAACAAGATCTTAGAGCTCAACATTCCTCTGCGCTTGTTTTGAATTGCTCTTCTGAGTTTTTGGAGAGTTTGGCAATACCTTTGAGAGTTTATTGTAGTGCCTCTTCCAGGAAGTCCACCAAAATTACACCTTTTCTGTCCCAAAAAACAGTCTCCATCATCTTCCTTGCCGACATTGTTTGCATGCATTTCTTGGGTTTTTGGGGAGAACTTGTGTGCCCCCACCCACTGCATTGATTGCAATTTCGTTTCACAGTTCACATGTTTCACCCATGTTTCGTCACCAGTAACGATGCGATCGAGTAAGAGTCACCATCCTTGTGGTAAGCGTCCAAAAGTTCAACGCTGCAGCCATTCGCTGATTTTGTGTGGTCCTCTGTCAAGATTTTTGGAATCCATCTTGCACAAAACTTGTGGTAACCAAGCTTTTCGCTGATGATTTCGTGCAACAAACTTCGCGAAATTTGTGGAAAACTCAAAGAAAGTTCCGTTATTGTGAAATTTCGATTTTCACGGACTTTAACATCGACTTTTTCGAGAAGTTCGGCGGTCACTATGCTGGGTCTCCCACTTCGATCTTCGTCGTGAACATTGGTTCGGCCATTTTGAAATCTTATGACCCACTGACGCACTCCACCTTCAGTGATAATGTTGTCCCCATACACTTCACGAAGCTGCCGATAGATTTCTATCGGTTTACAGTTTTTTGCAGTCAGAAACCTTATTACTGAGCGCACCTCGCAGCTCGCGGGATTTTCAATTAACGCAGACATTTCAAACCGTCACAGTATCTGAACGGAGCACAGCACGAACCTCTCACTAGCATAGCACGGCTAGATGCAGACTGAGCTGCGCAACGCTCTGACCCCAAGATGGCCGCGCTAGCCCCGCCCCTAGCGGACACAGACGGAAACGTAATCTACTTCCTGGATGGCCCTCGTACTTCGTGATTAAAGCGAATTTTTGCTGTGGTTAGTCAAAAATATTTTTTACAATTTATCACTAATGTTGCAGTCAAAAACAGTAATATTAATGATAAAATTAACTTAAATGCAATCAAAAAAATTTTCATTGGAAAAACTTCTGAATAATTCCGAAATATTCGGTAATACAGTCAAAAGTCGTTAATTCGGACACCCATAATCCGGAATGATCTATAATCCGGACCTCAAAGCTGTAAACTTTCTGCGCATGTGTCGCGTTGACGCATGCGCATAGGCGTTTATGCGTGCACCTAAGACATTTACGGCTGCGCATATGCGTGTGCGCATGCGCATAATATGTTTACGCATGCGCGTTTAATGTATAACGGACGGTATAAGCTAAAATTATCTAATTATCTATTTCAGTTAATGTTGCAGATTGCGTTGTTCCTTAATCTTCGAATTGGATCCGGCTTATTATTTTTTGCAGACTGTTAGAGCAATTTTATAAAAGTAAGCTTGAACTTTCGATTATGTCAAATAGAATTTCCGATGCTGGAGCTCCCAAAGGATCTACAAAGCCAAAGTATGTTTCAATGTCCATCAAACAAAAAGTGGAATTGCTGCAAAAAATGGATAAAGGCATGAAGAAAGTGACAGAGAGGTTAGTGAAAACGAAAAAATTTCGATTGACAAGTTAGTCAGTATTCTCGACACAGCAATTACAGGAATTGAACAGGGAACTTTGTAACTGAACAAGAAATTATGTCCTGTTTATAGAATTAAATTAGAAGAGAAAGTATTAGCACAAAATAAAGCAACTTAAACAACTTACATTGAAAGAAATGTTTAATAAAGTAAACAAATAAATATTAAGCTTTTTTTTTTGTAAATTTTGATACCCTTTAGATCATAATTGTTCTTTATTTCACAAATTACGGTTTCATATTTTTAATTTTAGAATTTCTGCATGCCATCTTACGAGATTTAAACTGATGATCTATAATCCGGAAAAATCGATAATCCGGAATGGCCGAAGTCCCGACGAGTCCGGATTAACGACTTTTGACTGTATTATATATTCTAAATATTAATCTAACTAAATGCAGCATCAAAAGAAAGAATCTCTGTATACATATTACTATCAAGAATGGATGAAAATAAGCCTAGAAAAATTTCAGCAATTTAATAGCTTGATTTTCAGTTCAAGAATAGCTCGTTAAATACTGGAAATAACGTTAGATTCTCCAAAAACGTAGCAACCATATGCACTCTCATATAATGGCTTTCACAAGTTATGTTACTGAAAAAACAAATTATGTACAATGATAAAAATGTGAAATTTCATGTAAGCTGACTAGCAGATAAGTTTATGTTGATCCTTTCCTTTATGATTCATTTCATCACGTACTATTTCATTATGCTCAGTCCAGATTTTTCTGCGGAACTTATGTTAAGCGTCGTATATTAACAGAAGACGAATTGTGGGAGCGGCATGTTTGGTAGTTAGAGACTTAGTTCTTGCCGCCATTGCTGTTTGCGTATAAAAAGGTAGTTACTGATTAGAACGGAAGTGAATCGCACGGTTGGTAAGTACTAAATATTAGTTATTATTATGAGTTATTATTATTATTATTATGAGCTTTAGATATCTGACCAGTTAGTATTGTAGCCTTGCGTAGGTTCACTGGAAGTATAACCCAGCTACACAGAAAACTGATGCCTCAAGAAGACTTTCACCTTGTGTTGTATTATTTAGTGTTAAATTCACCAGAGATGAGGAAATATTTCCGTGTATAAGCCGAGAACCTTTTGAACTTTTCTTAAGCTAAATTATGGAAGTCGGCGTATATACATATCAGCTAATCTCCCAGAAAAAGGTAAGTACTTTTCCGTTAGCTAGAAGCAAGCGACGATTACCAAATATCGCAATTTTTTTTTGGTTTATTCTTTTTAAGTTTATGAAAAAAAATTGTTAATGAAGTGAAATATTCATTCTATGAAAATGAGTTGTTTCATTTCCGAAATTTTTTTATAATGTGGCGCGTCGTCGCCAACACGAAAAATCTGATATATTATCAAAATTTGCACCCTGCTTTCTCCGTTCTCGAACTTCTTCATTTACGCAGAAATACCGAGCAGCCATATTGTTGTCATAATTTTCGTCAAACAGGATCACCTGTAATTTGAAATTTGCAGTATGAGTATTTCTCTTTCTAATCATCGTTCTGACAAAACATAAAATGGCACAGAGTAGCATAAATACCACAGATCGTATGCAAGGCAAGAAATGAATGGAAAAAAATAAAAAACCTGCTTGTTTCAGATAGGGTTACCAGAGTTAAAACTGTGATCTTTGGCTTCGCTTCTGGAGTTTTACTTTATAGCTATTTGATTGGAAAATAATCCTCAAATTTTACCCTCTTGGTAACATTTCCTTCCTCATGGCTGTTATATTGATATTGAGTTAAAGTTATACAGTAAAACGTGGAAACATCTAACATCGATTAAGTTTCGAATTCTAGAGTATTCCCAACAGACAAATGTTACTCAAATACAAATAAATACATTACGAAGCGTCAAGCAAATAATCCAATTGTAAGGTTAAAGGAAATGAATCCTTCCTAAGATTATTTGCTATAAAAAAGAAAGAAAATTATATTTACTCCTTCCTGGTTCCGGATACTGCCACAATAAAGTTAACAACCATTTTCACATGTGATTATTTTATTTTTCTAGTAGCTACTGAAATATTCTGGATTAAATAAAAGAATTTAACAAGGTAAACACATTACAGAAGTTCATTATCTCCGATGGACACTCGTGATTGCATTCAACAATCTTTAACCGTCCATACCATACATTCTATGACGAATATTGTTCATATAGACGTCTTCTATCGCCCCCTAAACCCCCTATTGTTTAGCCCACTTGTTCAAATTCACCATGCATAATTCTGAACCTAACTAAAAAAATTAAAAGCTGAAGAAACAAGAACAGAATAAAAAAATACTTAAGTTAACGAAACATAAAATCATTAAAATTATTTTTCATACTATAAATACTTCCTCATACTGTCCTTTGGGTATTCTAAATGATTTTAGCTAAAATATAACTTCTTCACTTCATAAAAATCATTTGTTTCTTGCAATAATTCACAGATATTTTTAACTTTGTTTCTACCTTTTACTGACTAGTTTCTTAAAAGAAATGGAAACAGAAATACTCATTTTGCGCTTTACAGAATTATGAGAGTAAATATTAACAAAACGTTTCGAACTAATATTCATCGGGAATGTTTCTCTGATACAAAATTTATCTGCTGCGGGAAATTTCGGAGCTGAGTTAAAAAAAAAAAACGAACTTTGCACATTTATTTATAATAGAAAATAGTCAAAACTTACCCCAAATGAACGTAACGAAGATGAGAGGCTGGACTTGGAAACATCTGTCTTTTTATCTCCA